CTTTAATAAATTAAGCAAAGTTAAAGTAATGTTAATATATTATATAAATGATTAGTTCAGGTTAGAATTCATCAGTTTTAAAGCTTGTATTTTTATTTATATTAATGTAATTGATATAAAAATAACATTTAAAATTTTTAAATTAAAATTAAATATTTATAATTATTATATAATCATACTTAGAAAAAGATTATAACATTGGTAAGCAAGATGCATGCTTACAAATTTTAAAAAGTCATTACTTATACAGTAATATTACGAAATTTGATGAAAATAAATATCTGAAATCTAGACATATTGTTAAATCATATAATTGATGTCTGTATTGTTGTATGAGGTTATAAGTAATCAGTTATTGGTTGAAGCCTTCTGTATTGCTGTAGACTCCAGCTGTTTTGATTTCAGGAAACATCAAAAAGCTTTTATGGTAATTAATTGCCAAATCAAAACACTAATATCAGATATTTCATTTTGATAGTATATGGTAATGTAAGGATGTGTAGCTGTTGTTTTTATCAGTTTGTGAAGAAATGGAGAAGGGGTTCTGATCACCTTAGACCTGAGCCTATTTATATAACATTAAGTAACAGCTATTATTTTCTGAACAAATGGCTGGAGGGGGTTCAGCTTTCTTGGACTCTTCCTCTAGATCCATGACTTATTGTACGACATTAAAGAATACAGTTATTAATTCTTGAAAAATGTGGAGGGAATATTGAACCTCTAGACTCCCCCCCCTTCCTCTATATCTGAACCTGCTTATACAATATTAAAAATACAGCAATTTCTTTCTGTTAAAAAATGGATGAAGTGTTCTAACCCAGTGGCTCCTACCCCTAGATATGTGCCTGCTAAAGAATATAGTTACACAATTATAAACTAATATGTGAGACAACATGAAATGGCAGTAAAGTTACACCTTCTTAAACATTTAAGTTGCCAGAGTGGTCATGGGGGTGTTGCCAGCCAATTGCTTTCTTTATAATCAGAAATTCAAAGTTAATGACAGTAGCAACTAGCCTTAGTAACTCTCCAATAATAAAGAGCAAATTTAGTGACAATGGGAATTGAATCTGAGACCCTCAAATCACAAGGTAACCCATTACGTATCTTTGTATTTAATAACAAGAAAACATAATAGTATTGTTTGGATTGATGCAATAATTAAAAACATTAAACAATCAGAAACCCTATTTTAGATTAGTAGATTACTTTCTTGACAGTCAATTTCATTGTAATCACAAACAATAATTTTGATTAGTTATGTTTTTGTGACATTAGTCAATTAAGTGTAATTTTTATCAGTTTACAAGATATTAATTAATGTAATTGCTGCTCATGGGTAATCGATTATAATGATTAAATTATGTGAATTATCAATACTTGTAATGTAAACCCTGTGGAGTAAACTTGAGTTGTTAATACCCATAAGAGGTTATAAGTTTGTTGCATTTATAGTATACACATTTATATAGTAAATCTGTTATTTTAAGTAGTCTTATTTAGTGCTGTATTGTTAGTTTTTATTATTGTCAATTTCATTTCCATGGTTTTTCAATTTTGCTTAGGAGTTGATTGGCTGAAAACTGTGGGTATTGTTTTAATGAAATATAATAACTATTTGCAGTAGCATAGGAGATTGGGGGGGGGGGCTATGTACAACCTATAATTAAACATTATATTATTACTGTGTCAGTATTATGAAGCCAAAGAAATGTTATAGATGGTAGCATTACATTTGGCTGGTCTAAACACACAATAATATGGGTCATGAATAATGTAGTTTTGGATGAATTGTCTTTTGAAAATTAAAAATAAACTACTTATAGGTTATCTGCAAAGTGTATTCTAATGTTATTTGATTTTTTTAGCAAATTGTTTTTGCCAATAGATAAAGTATAACTTATGTGTGTTATCTTTTTGGTTGTACTTAAATATTTGATTATGAGTATAATCAATGATGCTTTGACAACATAACTGAAAAATGTTATGTTATGAATTGGAAATTTTTTGTGTCTTCCAAATACAACCAGTTCTATGGCCCTGATTTATGATTATTAGAAATAGTAATTATTTATAAAAAAAAAAAATGATCTCACTTTATTGTTTTGCACAATATTTTGGTTTTTTGACTTCAGTTGTAAATACAAATTTATAAAAGTTCATTGAAAAGTTGAAATCTGGTGCTGCTTCTGCATGTACATACATATAATGCTGTTTTGTGCAGTCTCAAGGATGGTGTTTTTAGGTTTTACTTTCATAAAATGATTAAAATCTAACATCCACACTTTCTTTTTAATTGGATGTCAATGGTGTAATACCAGAACATGAAATTGATAAAAAAATAAGAATGAAATTAATTTTAATGTTATCATTATATATTCATGATGCTAGGAAAATGAGTAGTTTCAAAAGATCAATTAAAGACAAAAATAAGAAGCCCTATAACCAGAGCACGTTCAAAAGATAGACCTTTCTTTATCAGAGACATACTATAAATGAACATCATAATGTTGGCATTTTGAGTCTCAAATATACTTGAACACATGTAGGATTATGCATGCTATATTTAACATATTTTTCTAATATAGAGTTAACTTAATGATTGTAATAAAGAAACTTCTGATTGGTTTATTTGTCTATCCAGTTAAAGTATTTACTGGTCAGTAAAATACCAAATTTGGCCTGTGTGTTTTATAAGATTTTAAAGAGAACATAAGCATATAATATTTATAGTGTTATATATATTATATGCTGATGTACATTTCAGAAGACCCAAAAGTGAATAACATTTTCTATTGTGTTTTGTGTTACTATTCTCACTCAATTTTTTTTTTGTGATCAGAAATGCAAAATTAATTTTACACAGATTAACAGTAAAGAAAATGTGGAGTTTTATATTGTTTTGAATATTGTCATTTTAAGCAAAATATTCTGAGGAAATTGTGTTCAGTTAAAATTTATCTTTCTAAAATTGTATTTTCCAGTTAAACTTCATAAAAGGTGACATAATCACTGTGACCCAGATTGTTGAAGGAGGTTGGTGGGAAGGAACATTGAAAGGAGTAACAGGATGGTTTCCTAGCAACTATGTAAGAGAGTATAAGCCAGGTAGGTATGATTAAACAAACTTAAGTTTGTATTTAATAACACAATTAGTAAAGAATAGAATACTTTTAAAATAATTCCCTGCAGCTGGTCCCATTGATGTTACATAGATTTAAGATCTAGGTTCTGGAGAGATCATATGAAGTTGCTTATGTTATTACTGTGAGACCAGCCATGGGTTGTATTATGTACATGATTTGGGACTGGGAACATAATCTTGCTTGTGCTTTTGACCAAGAAACTCTGCCAGGGCTCAAGGAATGTATTAATTTAATAGCTTTTGATATCCTTTGGCAATTAAATTAACAAAAAATTTCCCAAATAAATTCCACCTCCAGTGTGTATAATGCAGCTTGCACTCTGACAGCACAACCACAATCTTCCAAAGCTGGCTTAAGATGTTCACAGGCAGATTGATAACTTATCTCCATCTAGATCTGTATTTGGCTATCACTTACAAAATGACGGGATAATTCTAATCACCTCATGAAATTTCTGACTAATTGTCAAGATTCCAATGTTGATGGACTTTAAGTAAAATGGTGTTGACCATTCTTGTGGGTGAAGCACCATTGCAATGTCTGAAACACTTTTGGTTCCATTTTCTGGCCACTTGACACTGAAATTGAGAGATGTTGCTACAGTACTATTTTATAAAAATATGGCAAAATATTATGTGTAAACATCACATCCTTAGTAATATTTATTATACTTAGCGTTATATAGACAAATATCAAGTATTATGTACATTAATTTATACTGTTGCTACTTAAAAAGAAGTATCAGTCATATTATAGTTTATACTACAGTGTAAAATCAAAACTGTGAAGCTCATGATGTAATATGGCTGTCAAGACTGCCTGGTTCAGTGTGTAATTTGTAAGATAAGATATATACACAAATATGTACTACAGGGTGATTAGAAAGAAAGTTTCACAGTTCAACGTATTATATCTCACAAATATTATGACACTCTAAAAGTGTTATGCACTCCCTGGTATTTCCAGAGAGATTCCTTGGCATTGTATCCTTTAGTGTAATAAAATTTCACTAGTTCACCTCCCTGCAAACTTGTCACTTCTGTGTTAGTCAAATGAGCTACACTGCAATCAACAGGCCCAGCTTTACCCATGGGATATATGCAGAAGAAACCACAGTGATGCTCCTGATGGCAACATGTGACAACTGTGGTACTTCCAACCACATGATACCCTTAACAATGTCACCTTCAGGAGCCTTGTTCCTGTGCACATGTTTATATAAAATATTTGAGGAGACAGGTTGCACTTATGATAAGTAATACTGAACAATGATGACCAATGGTTTGCCAACATCTTATGGACTGATGAAGCACACTTCACTCCTTCTGGAAGTGTCAACATGCATAACTGCATTACCTTGTTGGAAACTAATCTACATGTAACATTTCCTACACACTTTCATGATGCTAAGGTCTAAGGTGACAGTATGGTGCAACTTCACAGTTGACATTGTTATTGGATAATACATTAACTGCTGCACAGTACCATGCAATGTTCACAACCAACATAATTTCCATGCTGCAGCAAAGAAATGTGATAGACATGTCTTTCTTCAAGTAAGATGTTGCCCCTCCACATGTTGATAACCAGGTGAAACACATCTTGCATGAGCACTTTCAGGATAGAATCATTTCTCATCACTTTTCGTGTGAATGGTCACTTTGTTCACTAGTCCTAACACCAGTTTATTTCTGGTTGTGGGGTTAACTGAAGTCATGCATGTGCCATAGGAAGACCTCAAGGATGAAATTGATAGGAAAGTGGCTAACATATCAGATGAGGTATTTGTTGCTGCTGTAATGTCCATTGTCATGAACTTCATTGCATTCTGGATACTGGAGGGGCACTTTTGAATAGTTGCTGTGATTGATCAGACATTAGGTTAGGTGTGGCAACATTCAACAACTGTGGCATACACACAAACACATACAAAACTGCAGGTTTTAAAATTTTTTCTGCAATTCATTGTTTCTGAAGGCTAAGAATTCAACCTAATTTGACTCCTCTTTTTTTTGACTAGCATTATATTTTTATACATAATATTGTTTAAACATTTTCTGATAACTTTCAAGAACTTCCAAGTGAGTAACTTACTTTCAAAAGAGAAAATGAAAGATATTTACTTGGTAACAAGAAATTTTGCTGACTCTTTTTTCATTATTTATTTCAAAGCTCCAGAACCCCTATACATGTTTAGTGAGATGCAAGAGTCATCTTACACAATAAAAATGTATTACTATAATTGCGACCTAATACCATGGAACTTTTATGAGTGTGGAGAACCTCTGATTGCATAAAGTGATGTTTTAACCCTCAACATGGGCTCGGTCAATTTGACTGACCACATGACCTCTTTGTACTCATTTAAAATCTTTATAGATTTAATACTTCTAACTTTCAATATTGTGTGTATATCTTCACAAAATATAGCAGTCTTTCACATACAAAAAATCATATTTTTAGTGAAGTATTTTTAATAAACTAAATTAAAGATTTGTCCATGAATATATGGAGTATTTGTTTTGAATAGTCCGTGTGCAAAGTGATTTTCATGTTAAGGTTAAAAATACTTTTCATCATCTTAAAAATCTCAAATTTAATTTGTATCATCACTAAGGCTTCTAAAATTTTATTTTATCTGTTATTTTCTCTACCCTAACTTTATACAAGGTGGGTCAATTTGACTGACCTTATACCTCCCCAAAAAATCGAAATATATCTAAATTACCCTCTTTTTCTTTCTAGAATAACCTCAAATGTAGCATGAAACAATTAGGTCCTCAAGAAATTAATGTTGCATTTTTGGAACACTTTCATTAACCACACTCCAAAAAACGTACATCCCTTATAGTAGTTAAATGAACTGCCTAAATGTCATGTTAGTGTAGCCTATATAATGTGTAAAGTTTAGTATACTCTAATCCCTTATAATGATGGCACACGACAAGACACACATTTGGCATGTAATGCTGTTTGAATACAAGAAGGGAAACAACGCCTCTGTAGCCACAAAGAATATCAAAGAAGTTTATGGAATTGTTTTGAACGTTCGTAAATGTCCACGATGGTTCAGCAAAATTCGTTCATGGGACTCTAGCCTTAAAAACTGTGATGGCAGGGGCTGACATGTTGGAATTGATATTGATACTCTGAAGATGCTTGTTGAGTCTAACCTGAGGCAACAAACTTGTGAAATGGCCCTGAAATTGTATGTCTCTCATGAAACAATACGTAAACATCTAAGGAATACG